AGCTGGAAGCAGAGGAGGTGCAACCAAGCAGATGAGGAGCAGTACAAAATGAGACTAGGCACAAGTTCTAAGTCTTTCATCACCATCTGCCTAGCACCTTTCCTAGATAATCCAAGTTCCCTCTTTTCCTCAACAGTACGATGTCTCTTCCAGGCACACAAAAGCCTTTCAATAATAGCAGAGGTGGTGAATAATTAATTTTTCAGCTGTAATCTTACCCCAAAGGAACTGTCTTGTTAGGTTCTCAGGTTCTTCAAGCTTTAAAGAGTGTCCAACAACTGTATTTGAAATGTTTTGTTATGACACATACAGAACAAAAATTTTTCGTAGTTTAGAATTTTGCTCAAATGAAACTGTTTGCTGAATTCAGCCTGAAATTGTGTTGAGCCCTTTTTCTCCCCATTTTTCTGGCTGGAGTATGGTTACTGTTCAGGAATGTCATAGATCCTAAATATCATAAGATCAATAAGATTATTTCCTCGTAGAGCTCTTGGCTCTCACGAAGAGCTGTCCCCACCTGCTTACCTGGGTGCTCTCACCCGTAACACACCAGGCACAGGTCTTGGACAAACACTCTCTGCTCTCCTGCATGGAGACCTCCTGTGAGCTGCCAGTGTGGATCTGAATGTCATTCTGCTGGAGAAGAGGGAGCCAGCAATAGAACAGAGAGGAGAGGGCTGGGAAAGAAACTGCAAGTCAAGAGAAAGAGAGTGTATAAGAGGAATGAAAAGAGAAGACACCCCTGCAACCATGTGGTGGGGACTGCAGTGTCTTATGTGGTTGCCCACAGCTTCTCTGTTGTTGGGACATTGTAATCAAGTAACATCTTTAATTGGTTCTGTTCCAGCTGTGCATGGGCTCTCAGGCATCCATAGTGAAGACAGCCACGGCTGTAGAACAAGGGAGACAGTGGGTGGACTGAAGAAAAGCTTGCAGTGGTGCTGAGGGAATCTGTCAAGGATGTGGAGGAATCTTAATAGAGGAAGGGCAAAGCAACCAGAGAGGCCAGGGACTGAGGAGTACCAGCAAGTCTTCTACAGGAAAAGTCAGTTTGACACTGTTTTCTCTTGTTCACATGCTGCCAGGTGCACCACTGTGCTTAAGGAACACATTTGTAGCTTAATGGCCAGAGAGAAATGGCCATTACTGGAAGCAAGTGCAACAGAGGGATGGCAGGAGACCTCTATGAGGAGGGAAACTGGTATTCCCATGGACAGGTAGCATGGCTGTTTCCAGTGTCTAACTAAATCATTTAATCTTCACTGATCCAAGCAAACATAGTTTAATCATAAATCTCGATTTCCTTAAGCAATGAAACCATTCCTGCCTTACAATTTGCTTTGGTAACACTTGTGCAAAGAAAGCTTTGGACAGAGGTGCAAGGAAACTGAAAAATGGGGAGAGAGGTTGGGGACCAGTGAAGGGGTGTGCCATGGAGGCTGTCTCAGCTTGGGGTGAGTGATTGGTACCTGCTTTCTGGCCCTTGATGTATCCTATGACAGGGAAGCATCATTGATGTTGCGCTAGAAATTATGGTATCAGTTAAATTTAAAGGCGTTAGTGGGAACTGAATGTTAATTAGTAAAAAAATGTGAACACCTTGAGTCCTTTCTCCCACCCAAAGGACAAGCATTTCATTGCACAGTTGACTTTTAAAGAAATGATGGATCCAAACTAAAACTTGTGTTTGCACACATCTTCATCCAGTTCCAGCTCTGGTGAAACGAGCCAAGAGTCAACAAAATCCCTCACTCCATCAGCCATCCTACCTGGTGGGAAGAAACATCTTTTTGTGCAAAAAACAGGCCAATAGCACTGTATTATTTTGCCATTGGCTCTTCAGTTTTCTCCTGCAGTATCAGGGACCATGTAGTGACTGCTGCAAATGAAGCAGTACATCAAATGGAAGGGATCATTTCAACGTGTTCCAACTGGTGTCTTGATCACTGACCCAGCATCTCTGGTGCTTTGGGTTGTTCCAGCCAGGCCTGCAACAGTCCCACCTCAAGGTGGTGCCTCTGGGAAAACATATTGAAGAATGTACAAAATGCCACTCGGGGAAGGAAGATTCAGGGGTGAAAACACGCAAGGAACAGCCCTGTGAACACAAGGTTAGAGATGATGGAGGAGGAGGAGGTGTTCCATGTGCCAGACCAGAGGTGACCCCACAGTCCATGGAGGGATCTGTGCTGGAGCAAGAGGACATTTCCTGAAAGAGCTGTGGCCATCGAGAGCTCATTTTGGATTATCCTGAAGGACTGAGCCCATGGGAAGGACTCACAATGGAACATGGGAAAAGAGTGAGGAGGACAGAGCATCAGTGACAAACTGCTGTGGACTGACCACAGTGCCCCATTCCTCATAGTCCCCCTGTGCCACTCAGGGAAGGGGGAGGTACAGGAGTGGAATGAAGAAGTGAAGCTGAGCCTGGGTAAACAGTGAGGGAGGGGTTATTTAAGTTGTCAGTGCTTCTTCCTATCAAATTCTATTTTAATTGGCAATGAAATGATATTTCTGTAAATTGATTCTGTTTTCCGTGTGACAGTGATTTCCCCGGCCTTATCTCAACCCATCTTTTTCACCTTATTTTCTCCTCCTGTTCCCTGTTGAGGAGGAGGAATGAGAGAGGGGCCAGGTGGGTGTCTTGCAGCCAGCCAAGGTCAATCGACCACACTTTCTTTTTATCCAGGGACAGAGGAACTGGAATGCTGGGCTCCATGCCGAGAATGCCAGTCCTGCAGCGGGATGGCCATGCAGTGATCCTTGCCATTGGGGTCTGTGTGGACCAGCCATCCTGAGCTTCACTCAGCCTTTCTGTTTGGAGTTGCCTCACGTCTTCTCTTTTTACATTCGAGTATTAACAGTTTTTGTTGAGTTTTCAGTGGTTTTAATCTGGTTTTGCTTTTCTTTCATCTCTCGGGGTATGCAACAGCTGCCCCGATTTGTTTACCAAGCCACATCCCTTACTTCCTTCAGTCCCTTTGAATGACCACTTCCTCCATCTGCCTTGCAAAACTATGGGAAGAAAAGTCTGCCCATGTTTACAAAGTCAGTGAACTGTTTGCATATCTAACAAACTAATCCTTTCATTTTTTTCTCCCTTCTCACAATTGAGTCTGTGCTTCCTTTCTCCTTTTGATCTTCTTTTGGGTCTCCTCTGCTGTGTGAGCTTGAGTTTGGGTGCTGGCTGTCCAAGACAGTTGTATTGCATTTTTCATGAGGCACAAGAAACCTGTTTCTGGGTTTCTGAAAAGTGTTATGTTTACCAATCAGTAATAAATCCAAACCCATCCAAAAATAAGAATAGGAACAACCATCATGTCAAATTTTTATCGTCTAGAAGTTTTTGCACACTTTTTCTATAAAAGAAAACGTAGAATTCTGTGTTAGAGAAATAACTAATGCCCTGAGACACTTTGAAGGTTGATTGATTGACTGATTGAAGATAATCCTACTTTGGACCAGACAGCCTCTGGAGGTCCCTTCCAGGCTAACTATTTCTGTGATTCTGTAGTTTTCTATATTGTTAAAGCACTGCCAAATTTAGCAGTGCTGTGCAAATGTAGGTTCTTTGATGGGCGCTCGGATCCACCAAAACCCGACCATGATAGTTTCTCTTTGCAAAAATCCGCTGTTGAGTTCCTCTGGATGCCGTTATTTAACTGTTACCTTAAATATGTGGTAAATCCCAGTGGGAAGACTGTGTCAAGGGATCTGTAATGCTATTAAGGGCTTCAGAAAGAGAGAATTTGGGATAATTTTTCCTTTATTTTTTATACTTGCCCTTATCCCCAGACTTATACTCCTTGTTCTCCGGGAAGGGTTGTACCATTGAACAATGATCAGTGTATGACCACTGAATTTTGGCTTGAATCTGAAACAAAAGTCAAAATGCTACTTTGGGGGTTTCAGATTTGCTGTAGACAGCTTGTAGACCTTAAACATACTGAGTCTTGCTGCCCTGACGATGATCCTTCAGGGCACACTGAAGAATGAACAGGGGGAGGTCAGAAAAAGATGAGGATACTCACTTTTACTGCATGTTTTTGTGACATCTGTTAGGACAGAAATATACATAAATGCAGTCTGGGGGAATTCAAGGCAACTCAGCATTCTGGTTCCAAATTCTTCTACCTCTAGAAAGTTGGTAAGTAACTAATATTTGAGAAATTCATGATGGTGTGATAAAAGGACAAGAGGGAATGGTGTGAGATTGCGCCAGAGGATGTTTAGGTTGGATACTAGGAAAAATTCCTTCACAAAAGGGTTGTCAAGCATTGGAACAGGATGCCCAGAGAACTGGTGGAATCACCATCCCTGGAAGTGTTCAGAAGTCAGGTTGGCATGGCACTTGGGTGATATGGTATAGGTGTTGACAGTTGGACTCAATGATCTTGGAGGCCTTGTCCAACCTTAATGATTTGACTCAGTCCCTGAAACTGCACCTTCACAACAGTGTTAAGGGACTGGAGACATGATGGTTGTCTCTGTCTGATGCCCTCCCAGCAGTGGGTGGGTGTACCAGAGCCCAGGCCAGTACAAAGGGTCTCCATAAGCCCCTTGATTGTTTCCCGCCACGTTCTTACCCTTCCACATGTGCAGTCCCAAAAAAGAAAGCTCTTCTACACCGCCTTAAAAAGCAGATTTGGCTCAGATTCAGCTCAAACCTAAGAGCAAGAAAGGGACGTGTTACATAACTGACCACAACTGAACTTCACAGCCAAAGAGGGATGGGAGGGAAAAACACCAGCTACTGCAACCACTTTTGATCTCTGCTGCCCCTGAATTAGATGTCAGGTGTGCCTTCTTGCAGAACCAGGAAGCTATAAATCTTAGTTAACAAATCAAACATGGAAGTTAGGGAAGTGAGAGCAGTGGAGAATGTGGTGTTGACCTAGTGAAGCGAGAGACTGGGCTGCTGAGCTACACCCTTTAGTGTAGTCCCTGCCTATAAATTCTGGTGCTCACCTGTACCAGGAGCTCCAAGGAGATGGCTGCCACCATGATCTTGTCTTGGATGGTGATGATAAGTCTTCAAATTCAGCTGGATGCAGGTAACAAGTCTCAATTCTGATCACCTCCGTGGCTATATTTCACCTCAGGGTAATGCTGAGATTTAAGGGTAAAAGAGGATTTACCAGCACAGCTTAGTTCTTTTGAAAACCAGGAGCAGGTCAAAGCCATGAGCTGAGCAAATCAATTTTATAGAAACTGTTTAATGAATTTAAATTTTTTCTCACCATTTTTGTAAAGAACCCAGTAAAATAAAATCAAATGAATATACTGTAAAGCCAATGATATGAATTTCCAATTCTTTATACTGGGGTAATGGATTTAAAGACTAATAATTATTTCCTGGACTAAAGATATGTTTATTTTAAAGAGGTGCACTTTGAACCATGGAATTGGTATTTGATTAGATACATTGGTATGACCAACACATTGGTGTTTAATAACAGAGTACCCCAGATAAAAGAAGTATGGCACATGTCCCTATGCTATCATTGTTGTAGTTACTAGAATATAATAGGAATTACTGTAATTTTTTTTTATTTTAATTTCCCAAGGGCTAATTCCTCTTACAAGTGTAATTTGATTTGCTTACAGAGGCATTGGGAGGTCTGATGGTAGGGAGGATGTTTCCAATAGGGTAAAATAGTCTTTCTGTGTTCAAAAAACACTTTCCCATTTTTCAGGTGAGGCTTCCCTGGCTGAGCAGAGTGCCAGCATGGTGCTGGGAGAGACAAGGCATTTCTTTTTAAGCAGCTGCTGTTGCATTCTTTATGCAGGAGGGTAGGATGGAAAAAGATCAAAGGTGTTGGCACAGCTGCTGTCTTTCCAGCCCTTCCTCTTCCAGGTGTAAAATTTGGGAATGAACTTAGCTTGGACTAATGAACCAAAAACAAAAACCTGCTTTCCCTTTCTGTGCTCCCACGTACACAGTGGAAAGAAATAACTGTTCAGGGTTATTTCCTCAGGTTTTTAATGCCCTTGTTATTTACTCCCTCCAAAAATATTTAAGGTGCAATTATTAATGCTGAAAACTAAGCTGAGATGTTGATGTTCAGCTGGAAAATATTGAGTTACCGTTTAATCCTTTCATTACCATCTAATTAATTCAGGGTTAAAGCCTTGCATGCATGAGGAGCAGTGTGGTGGGATGCATTGTAAAATACCCTAATAACTGAAAACATTACACATGTCCTTGTTAGGCTCTCCTGCATCCAGAAATCACTTTAAATAAATAAACTGTGAGTTTCAGAGACAATAAGTTTTATGATACATGATATTAACCAGTGAGGGCATATTCCCACCTATCAGGTTGTCCATAGAGAAGGATTTTTATCACCACCTAACCCACTCCCTTGAAAAACATCTGACATCCCTTTGCCAATGCCACCAGGGATTCCTGTGCGTGCAAACTTCCCGTCCTTATTACTTAATTCATGTAATGCTCTTCAATTTTTTGTTGTTGTTGTTGTTTTTGCTTGTGTTGACACTGTCTGCAGCTTGGACAACAGGAGATGCTGAACCAGAAGGGCCTCTAACAACAGGTAATTTTAAAATTATATAAAAGTGCACATTTTTTATAGAATTGGCATTGCTAAATATTCTCTCCAGGCTGATGCTTGCATCTGAGAACTCTTCTAGTTTAGTTGTAGCTAATGTAGCCAACTCATCAGCTTAGTCAGGGGCTCAGTATCCTTCAGACTGGGCTCCCATGTCTGAATGCACCCATACAGAATCTGTATGGTAGTACACACATGCACTTAAAATGCAGTGTATAAGTGAATGTGTGTCCCTCTTCTTAGAGAAGGAATGAGAGCCATCACTGCAATGAAGAGCTTAATTAAGCCAGTCCTTGGGCTAAAACCTTGGGATCACAATGCCATGTTAAAAACAGAGCCTGTGTAAATGCAGCAGTTTCTGAGGATCTGAAAGCCCAAAGTTATCCATAGTTTGCACAGACAAATTTTTTATTGAAGACAGGTTTGAAGACCATTTTCCAATGACCTATACAGAGACAGAGCAGGACTCACATGAAATGCCCTTATTAATTTGGATTATGTTTATCAATTTTGAGATGTTTGGTGCTGTCACCTGCTCACAGAAGCACTAGGAAGGAGATCACCTTTCCCCGGGTGTCAGAGCTCTGTCCTACGGGATGCCCTCGATCTCTTAGTGCCACCTGGAGGCTTTCCATCAGCTGTACAGGAGCCTTAGCAAGGAAAACCCTTCTTTGACCGAGTTACTGACTCCAGCGGCAGTCAGCAACAAGGTATTGATGAAATCAGTGCTGTTGGGAGCGGAAGGGAATGAGAGAAGCTTAGATGCAGTGGGACCGTGAGCAGAACCTGTGACAGGGAGCTTTCGGATGTGCAGCCTCCCTTGTCACTGGCCTCTCTCTGACCATCTCCCCAGATATTTTGTGTCACCTTCATTTCTGTTAGGATTTTTGTCCTTCTTTGGTTTGGAAAAAGGAAGGGAGAGGCAGTTCACAGCCTATTCTCATGCCAGTAGCAGAGCCATCAGCTTCTGATCAGATCAGGTGAAACCAGCAGAGAGAATCAGAGAATTGTTTAAGTTTGAAAACACCTCTTGGATCATCGAGTCCAGCCAGTAACCCTGCACTGCCAAGCCCACCACTAAGCCATGGCTCACACATTTACACCTTTTACATGTCTTTTAAATCCTTTCAGGGACAGTGACCCCACCACTGCCCTGGACAACCTGTTCCAGGGCTCGACAACCTTTTCCATGATTACATTTTCCCTGATCTCCAATCTAAACCTCCCCTGGCCCAACTTGAAGCTATTTCCTCTTGTCCTATCACTTGTTACTTCGGAGAAGGGACTGACCCCCACCTGGCTACAATCTTCTTCCAGGTAGTTATAGAGAGAAATAAGGTCCCCCTCCTGAGCCTTCTCTTCTCTAGGCTGAGCCCCTCCATCTCCCTTGGGTGGATCCCATCCACCCCCATAGATTTGTGGGTGTCCCTGACAATTACCTCTTGGATTTTGGGGGCTTCATTCTGCTCCCCATCCCTGTCTTCCAGCTCAGGGGGCTGGGTACCCTGAGAAAACTGGTCTGACTTCAAGGGCACTTGGCACTCTCCGGGCCAGTTGCAGGTTTTTGGTGGATTCACAAAGATATTTGATGGCTAATGGAAGGAAAAACTGCTGTGATTTACTAAAATAAAAAGAAATCTCCTAGATCTAAAATTTGTTGGCCACTAATTCCTGGAGACTGAAACAGGGTTTGAGGAAGTTTCATGCTATATTTGCCTTTTTGGCCTTCACATATGATATCATCCACGTTTTTTCCTTCTCTAGAAGAAACAGTACGTCCCCCAACAACAGTTGGCCTCACGACTTGTAAATAGAATTTATCAGATTATTACTTCACATGATAGTGGTAGCTTTATGTTTTTATCATAGTATTTATTCTTGGGAACAAATTATTATGATGAAAAAGCTCATGCTTGCCCTAGGCTGGGGCCAGGGATGTATGCAAGACGTAAATTATCCGGGAGCCAGGAACTCAAGGATGGCTCTGCCCTCCAGCAACCAGCCTCCTTGCTAGAAATAAAAAGGTCTATCACTTGTGCCCTTCACTGGAGACTTGACTCACTGGGGAAAGGTGGAGAGCACTGACAGCTCCCAGAAAATTTGTCCTAATTCATTTGCTCTCTTTGTGTTTTTCTCCCTGCTTGTTCTTCTCCACAGTTCCAGTTACAGATGAAGGTGAGTGTGTCTGCCAAGGCCCTTCTGGTGGCCCTTGGCACGGGGATGGGACCTGCTGCTGGCCTGGCCTGTCTGTCCCTCAGCATGGGAGACCAAGCAGGGGCTGCCAGCCCTGAGCTGTGCTGTGGGTGCAGATGGGTGCCCGGAGAGGACGTGGGAGCCTGTGCTCTCCTGTCCAATGCCACTGCCTAAGCCCAGAGCACTGCTGGCCTGATGCAGGGGTTTATGTCTCTCCAAGAGCTGTGGCCGAGGCCGAGGCTGAGGCTGAGTGGTGGGCCGAACCGCTGCGCAGGCAACGTGGAAATCCAGTTCCTTGGGAGCTGGGAGAAGGTGTGTGGATACCTGTGGAACATGGAAGATGCTGAGGTTGTGTGCAGGCAGCTTGGCTGTGGATCACCCCTTGGAGTGAAGCACAATTTCCCTTCGAGCGACTCATACCCATACTTCATCACAGAGGTGAATTGTGCAGGGTATGAAGACAATTTGTTGCAGTGCCCCTACAGCTACCAGTACTATGTCTGTCATCATGGAGATGCTTCTGTCATATGCTCAGGTGGGTTTTTGTGTTTTGGGGGCAGTTTCCTGAAGAAAACCCACGTGGTGTTTGTGTGAGGCTGGGTGAAGTCTGTCCAACCCTTGCTCTGTGCTCTGCAGGGCAGCAGAGGGTCATAGGTCCATATCCCTGACGCAGGGGCCCATGTTTCAGAGGGAGCACTCTTCCTGCACTTGCAGATTGTGCTCGGGATGTCTGGGATTTTGCAGACTGCTCCTGTGCAGACTGAGGAGGGTGATGGTTTTTAGCCAGGCCATCCTCCCCATGGATCCCTTCATAGCTGTTCATGAGATTATAGTACGTACTCTGAGAGGAGATGAGGAATTTGAGTGCCTCACACCCTCTGTTTTTTTCTCTTTGCAGACTCAGGACTAACAGTGCCTCGACGAGCAGGTAACCAGAGATTTCTATTTATATACTACTTTTCCGTGGGGTGTTCTGGGATGCTCTGGGATGCTCTGTGTTCATCAGAGCAGAAGACCCAAATGTGGGCTGCACTTACAGACCCAGGGTAACATCCCTGATGCTCAGGATGACTCAGGATTATTTGGGATCCTTTGTGACTGAGCAGCCACTTCTTCAGGGGGAGAGGTTTTGCACTGGTCTTCATGGTGCCACAGTGGGGATGCCCTTGAGCAGGTGCTGGGGCAGATGACACTGCAGCTGCTCAGTCCTGCCTAATTACAGTGCCCACTGTGGCTTTCGGGTTTCCTTTTCCCGGGGTTCCCTTGGATGGGGGGTCTCCCAGCAGGGTGATCCTCTTAGGCAAAGCACTGCACTCTCACTTGCTGTTCTCTCCCTGCAGCGAGAGCTATCTCCAGCGTGACGCCCCCCATGCCATGGACCACAGGTATGTCCAGAGGGGTTATGGGGTCTGACTAGCTTCTGCCTTCAGTTATGGATCACAGAATTACAGGATGGTTGAGGTTGGAAGGGACTTCTGCAGTAATGGGGTCCTAAGCCCTGGCTAAAGCAGGGTTACCTGGAGCTGATTGCTCAAGGCCATGATCAGGTGGCTTTTTGGTATCTCCTAGGATGGAGAGTCCACCACCTCTGTGGGCAACCTGTGCCTGTGCTTAGTCACCCTCCCAGTGAAAAAGTATTTCCTCATGTTCAGAAGGAACCTTCTGTGCTTTACTTTGTGCCATGAGCTCTTGTCCCCTTTCTGGGCAGCACTGGAAGGAGCCTGGTTTTGGACAGGGCTGAATGCCAGCTGGGTTTTACTCTTAGGCAAAATGCTGCTCATTCACCTGCTGAGTTCTCCCCACAGCACCCCACAGTTCCAGCTCCATCTCCTCCAGTGTCATTGACCACATTTAGGTCCAGAGGGGTTAAGGGGTCTGCTTATCTCCTGCCCCAGGTGTGCTGTTGGATGGCCAACCCCAGAGATTGGGGTTACTGCACAGGCCGAGCACAAGCCGTGCTCTGGTTGGGGGGACACCACGATGATGCTTTGGGGTGGTGGCACGTGCCCGGGAGGGAGGGTCTGTGTGGGGCTGTGGCAGAGCCTCTTGGTGAGGCCTTTCTCTGAGGGCTCCAGGTGATGGGATGCCAAGAGGTCTCTGCTCCTCTCTGCAGGGACAGGCTCCTGTGGTGGCTTACTGCAGGATCTGTGGGGCTCCATCGAGAGCCCGGGCTACCCCAACTCCTACCCCGACAACGCCCGCTGCGTGTGGCGCATTCGGCTGTGGGACCCGGCCCGCAGAGTGGAGCTCCGCTTTTCGGATGTGGAGTGAGTCCTGGGCAGGGGGTCTGGCTGTGGGCTCAGGGGCGGCTTTGTGCCCACTGCGGGGCCTTGGCTGCTGTGCCCGAGCCCTGGGGCGAGGCGGGGATGGGCTGGGGTGGCTGGGCCCTGCAGCTCCGGCCGGAGCTCGGGGCTCGTGCCGGGAGGTGGCACAGCCTGCGGTGCCCACACAGCCCCCTGTCCCCACCAGGCTGGAAGGCAACAGCTGCTCCTACGATGCCATCGAGGTGTTTGACGGCGGGTCCCCCGAGGGGCCGCTCCTGGGCACTGTTTGCACCAACACCTCTCGAGTCTTCACATCCTCTGGGCACCAGCTCACCGTCCTGTTTCACAGTGACATCAGCATCTCCAGGAGAGGTTTCCTGGCCTACTACTCCTCATTTCTTGCCTTCAACAGCACCGCAGGTAAGACCTGAGCTCTCCCGTACCCTTTGGCAGGGCAGAAGATGAGAATCTCTCTTAAAGGGCTTCTGACGGCTCCTGACACCTGTGGGCATCCAGACCCCATGGGCCAACTGATGGGCATCGTTGCTCGGGGGCATCTTTTTGGACAGCACGACCATGAGGCTGCTGCCAGACACTGTTTCTTTGCCTGGTGGGCACGGATGGGGCTTTCTCCACCTCCCCCAGTGCTGCCACTGAGCCATCCTCTGTTTTTCGGACCTGTACTGAAGGCAGAGGAGTTACTTGGTCCTGGCATTCTCATTGCTGCAGAGACCAATGCTCCTGCTCTTGCTTAACCACTTGGTTTCCCAAAACCAAGAGGGCTGATGCGCTCAGATGCAGTGCAGTGAACTCCCTGTGGCAGCTGTGTGGAGGAGCAAGTGCGGCTGCTGCTCTCTGTATGCAGCACCTCGACTGCCCCTGTGTCACTGAGCTCAGGTGGGGCAGCAGGGCTGGAGGGGTCTGGTCACCTCCTGTCCCTGCTGGGGTCACAGAGTCCCAGGCTGGCTGAGGTTGCTCTTGCTGGGTCCCACCAGGTGACAGTGTTGACTGTGGGGTTTGTGTTCCTGTATCCCTGAGTTTGCTATGTGGAGGGATGACCTGCCCTGGTCTCCCGGTCTTGGGTAAAATGCTGTGCTCTCACTTGCTGCTCTCTCCCTACAGCACGAAGTAGTTTCAGCTGGACTCCCCCTGTGTCTCTGAGCATCATTAATTTTAGAGGGGTTTGGGGGTCTGGTTGTCTCTTGGCCTTACTCAGAGTCACACAATCACAGCATGGCTGAGTTTGGAAGGGACCTCTGGAAGTCATCCAGCTCAACAGCCCCTGCTAACCCATTGCTGGCTCCATCTGAACTTGGTGCTCACCAGGGCCTATTCTGGAGGAAGGGTTGTCTCCCAGATGGGTGACCCCCAGTGCCTGCTGGTGTGTGGGGTTGTTCTTTCCCAGGAGCAGCACTTGGCACCTGTCCTTATTGTCCTGCATGATGTTCCTGTTGGGCCATTTCTCCAGCCTGTTGAGGTCCCTGTGGATGGCAGCAGGACCCTCTGCTTGACCAGGCACTCTTCCCAGTTTGGTGTCATGAGCAAACTTGTTGAGAGTCTGCTCTGTCCCATCACCCCAACAATTAACAATCAAGAAAGATGCTGGAGGCCCTGCTGATGGGAGCTCTTGCACATGCAGAACACAAGCTGCACTCTGGGCTGGTGGGATGGAGAGGGAAGGCTTGGAGGTGCAGCCACACAGGGACCGACCATGATCCAGGTGGTGACTGTGGGTTCTGTGTTTCAGTGTCCCTTTAGGGGTGGGGTCACTCCCAGACAAACTGTTCCTTTTAGGCAAAATGCTGAGTGTTCACCTGCTGCTCTCTCCCTACAGAACCAGGTAATTCCAGCTGGGTGACCACAGGGACATCGACCTCAGGTAGGTTCAGAGGACTGGGGGCAGGAGTAGTCAGATCCCTGGGGTTATGGATCACATAAATCACAGGAGGATTAATGTTGGAAAGAATTTCCAGAGGTCATCTGATCCAGTCCACCTGCTAAAGCCAGGTCCCCCAAAGCTTGCTGCCTAGGAGTGTGTCCAAGAGTCTTTTGGCTGTATCCAACATGGAGAGTCCACCACCTCTGTGGGCAACCTGTGCCTGTGCTCAGTCACCTTCCCAGTGAAAAAGTGTTTCCTCATGTTCAGAAGGAACCTTCTGTGCTTTACTTTGTGCCATGAGCTCTTGTCCCCTCTCTGGGC